GGTATTTGTCCGCATTCATCACCGTTTTGCCTAAACTGGAGAGACAGTGGGCCATTGCCCCCTCAGACATAATGACCCCTGCATCCCGTGGGGTGGCACAGAAATGGATCCTCTGACCTAGCAGAGGCTGCTGAGGACTCACCCCGATTGCTGTAGCATTCTCTTCTGCAAGCTGAGGGCAGCGTGGTGTGAACGCTGCAGCCCTCTGCCTGAGGCCTGGAGAGTTAAGGCCCCAGACGCAGCCCTCAGCCTACAGCAGATAGGGGTTGCGGGGTAAAGACCCCAGCTCCCTCGCTTCTCAGTGAAGTGAACTCTGAAGACTGTCAGAGTGCCCCATGGCGCCAGCTTGCTCCTCCACTGCTGTTTCCTGGGATCACCTCCCAAATTAACTGCTTGTGCTCAAGTCCTTGTCCCAGGGTCTGTTTCTGGGGACACCCGAGAAACCTAATTCACTCATTCCACAGAGGTCTGCGTTTCTGCTCTGAGCCAGGCCCTGAGGTAGGCGGCTGTGAGGCTCCGGTTGTAAAGGGACAGACACAGTCGCTGTTCTCCTGGGGCCTAGAGGAGGGAGCAGATACACAGGTGAACAAGTAAACCTATAAATGCAAACGGTGCTAGTAAGGAACTTTATAGCACAGATAGAAAAATAGCAGGCCGCGTCCATTCAGGGAGGCGGAGAGGAAGGCAGTTTGGGGATAAGTCACGTAAATGGGATCTGATGTGGGCAGGAGGCAGCCTGTGTGTGCGCGAGTGCGGCGGGCCTTCCTGTTGGAGCACAGTGGGGCAAGGGCCGCATACCCTAATGTTGCTTCTCATAGTCACTTGCTTGACCACAAGAAGCAATATAAGGGTTCAAATCCTGGTTCTTCCACTTGCCAGCTGGTAACCCGGGCCAGGGGACTCCATGCCACAGTTTCCTCATTTATAAGCTAGGGGCAGTCAGTGTACCTGTGTCACAGTGTTGTAAGCATTGAGAAGTCAGTGCAGAGGTGCTGTCTTGGCCCACCCAGATCGCATTAGCAGGCCTGTACACAACCCACCCCCCCGCCCCTCCACCACGAGCAACTGCTGAAGGCAGGGAGAACAAGAGGCCAGCCCTCCTGCCCCCAAGAGAACTCACGGGGCTCTGGATCCATGGTTCAGAGCCCCGTGGCAACAGGCTGAAGACCGCAGCCTAATTTAGCTTTCTTGCGCCCCATCCTGCTCCCACACTCCTCCTGTGAGCATCCACCCCCCACCCCCCGCCTGCCCAGTGAACACCTGAACACGAATCCCTGCCTCACTCAGAAAGCATCAGCACTGTAAGAGTTTTACACGATTGTCATTGCCTTTATTTTTACCCAGGATGAGACTGATGTGTCTGTAAGACTCTTCAGGACCTGGACCAAGTACATTCAGCAGAATGTCTGGCTGATGGTTAAAAGTAGGATGAATAGCTAGTTCATGTTCATGAACAGGAATTTTCAATATGTCAGTTCTTCCCAACTTGATCTACAGATTCAACACAATCTCAATAAAAAGTCCAGCAAGCTATTGTGTGGCTATTGATAAACTGACCCTAAAGTTTATGTGGAGAGGCAAAAGGCCCACAGAGAGCCAGCACAATAGTGAAGAACAAAGCCAGAGGACGGATGCTACCCCACTGCGAGGCTTACTGTAAAGCCATAGCTATCAAGACTGTGGTATCAGCGAAAGAATGAGCAAATAGAAATGGAACAGAACAGAGAGCATAGAGAGAGACCCACCCAAATATCGTCAACTGACCGCTTACAAAGGAGCAAAAGCAATTCAATGGAGGAAGCATAGTCTTTTCAGAAGCATGATGAGTAAGCCAGTACATATCGGGGGAGGGGAGAGAGGGAAAGGGTCAGGATGACATAATGGAGGAGACAAGTCCTGGGAGAGGAAGGTGGATGCCTCAGCCCTCACTTGGGACAGGGCTGTCCTCCACAGGATGCTTGCATTTGCTGAAGTGAAAGACAGTGTATGGCTGATCAGGGCCTTTTGCATTGTTAGGTGGCTGCTTGTATTTCATTGTCTGTCCCACACGTTGCTTTCCCTCTGTCTGACTGTGTGTGTGTGTGTGTGTGTGTGTGTGTGTGTGTGTGTGTGTTTGCATCTCTCTCCTTGTCTGAGTGGCTTGTCCTCTGTTCGTTCTGGTGTCTGTCCCTCTTTTGCCCTATGTGGGTGTCTCGGATTGTGTTTGTTCATATCTGTGTGTGTGTGTCTCTCTCTGTCTCCCTCTCCCTCTGCCCCATTTCTAGTGCTGTCCCTGTCTATGTCCCTCTGTCCCTTTCCTCTTTCAACAACTACTTACTAGCCTGCACCGGATACCACCATCTCTGCTTGAGGTGGGGATACACGGTGAGGAAAGGAGCACCATCTAGGGAAGGAGCACTGAATCCACGGTTCACACCAGGAAGCGCTTGCCTCTGGTCCTGGGGTGGGGGACAGGGGCTTGGTCTGTATAGTAGGAGGGGATGGAGGGCTTTCTGTGAGTTTGGTGGTAAGTGGGCTGAGGCTGGAAGGGAGAATTCGGAGCTAACCAGGCTAAGGGCTTTCCTAGCAGAACCAACAGCATGTGCTGATGTCTGTGGTGCGACCCACTGGAGGTTCTGAGATTGAGCCACTGTGGCAGGAGCATGGAAGGGGAGGGCATGCAGGGGTCAACCCTGGGCCTTGGTTCTTAGTCCTAGCAGCAGTGAGGCACCATTGAAGGTTTGAAGCCCAGGAGTGGCATGAGCATTTCATAAAAAGGGTTCTGGGAGTAACTTCTGGCTACTTCAGTAGACCAAGCAAGATATAACAGTGGTGCTAGCCTTGGAAATGGATAGAAGTTGACAAATTCAAGAGCAATTTAGAAAGTTAAATTGATAAGACTTGGTGATTGCCTGAGGACAATGATGTTACATTATCTGAAAATTTATTTTAGTCACATCTGTCAAATTTTTTTTAAAGAGTGGTCAGGGAAGGTCTTAATAAATTCTCCTGCTTTTTAAAAGTATTTTTATAGAGAGAGGAAAGGAAAAGCATATAGAGAAAAGCATCAATGTGAGAGGGGAACATCGATCAGCCTCCTCCTGTACACAACCCCAACCAGGGATTAAGCGCACAACCTGGGCATGCGCCCTGACCGGGAATCGAACCGGCAACCTTCTGCACAGAATGATGCCCAACCAATTGAGCCACACTGGTCAAGACTCCAATTTTTATTATAATGTTGCTGCAAAGAAAAAAAAACTCACAGTAGGCTAATTCAAAGATTCCCTCTTAGAGATATTTTATGGGGAAAGACACTGGTTAGGTAATCATTGTTAGATTAGATAGGAAAAGAAAATATTTGCTTGAAGTCACTAGACTCTTGATTAGCAGTCAGCTGGGTGGGTGAGTAATTTCTGAGAATAAATGTGAATACCTTTCATGTTTTTAGGTAATTGCCAAAGCATCAGCAGTGCCCATTTCCTTCTAGAAGGTTATGCATTTCAGAACACACACAGGATCTGTGTTTTGTTGCCTGTTTGTTTTGTGGACTAAAGATAAGAGAGAGAAAAGACTCCCAGGTTTCAGGGTTGGGTGAAGAAGGGGGATCGGACCCTCCACCCCTCTACCTGCCCAAGGTTTATAGACACGATCGCCCCTTCCAGGGATAGGGCCACCTGTAGTTGATCAGTGGTTTTCAAAACTTTTTATTTTGAAACACTTTTAGATTCCTGCAGTCATTGAAAAACCAGTACAGAGTTTCTGTGTACCGTTTATCCAGCTTCCCCTGTTGGTAACGTCTTTCATAACTATAGTTATAAACCCAGGAAATTGACACTCGACAATATTATGACATATACTACAGACCTTAATTGGCTTTCACCATTTTTACGCGCACTCGTGTTTTATTTTGTTTTATGTGTTGGTGTATAGTGCTACGGAATTTTATCACATGTATAGATCTGTGTGACCGCCACCACTCACAGGATGCAGAACAAATGTTTATTTAAATTCTTTCCACGTTACTTCATGACTCTGGTCCCCTCTTACGGGATCTAGCTAGTGTTTTCAATCTAACTAGATTCTGTAAGAAAGCAGAAAACCTAGTTCATTCCATCCTCTCGTCTATGATTTCATTCTCTGCACCCACACTCCTGTTGCTGCCTGCGAATGGCCAGGCACCTTTCCTGCTATTCCAACTCTGATGCTGCGTTCACCTTCTAGACCTCATCTGCCTTCTTCCTTGATCCTGCCTCAAAGCTGAGAGCTCCTTCCCTCCCCTCTCTTCTCCAGGAATACCTCTCTTTCCTGTTTCTTTGTTCAGCTCAAGCACTGAGATGTATGTACCAGGACTCTTATGGTGGCAAGGGACCCAGGGCTTCAAAGAGCACATCGGGGCTCAATCTTTCCTTTCCACACCATCTCTGCTCCCCCAGCCTCATGTTCTATCAGCTGGCAGCAGCGGGATAAATTTTATGAATAGCTCTGGCCAAATAAGTCCCAGGAGGATTCTGATGGGCCTCGCTTGGGCCATGTGCTCGTCCCTGAACTAATCACTGTGCCGGGGATGGGCACTTTGGTTATTTCCACGACCCTTGGACCTGTCTTTGGCTTATTGTGGTGGGAGGTTGAGAGCGGTGGATCCGCTTCATGAGAAGCACGTGGAAAGGGTCCATCCCAGGAAAAGGTGCTTTTTGACAGAAAAGAGGGGAAGAAGGGATCAGTTGAGTTTGTCTCCATGTAACAGCGCACAGTTATCCCATGGCAGGGCAGGGGGTCTCCCTGGGCCAAGGTGGAATTCCTCCTTATCACTGTTATCTGTTGCTATAGAACTATGCCAATACTTAGTGGCTTAAAACAATAAGCATTTTATTTATTTGCACATCATCCTGCAGTTGGGGCAGGGCTGAGGGGCTGGGGAATGAAGGAGCTGGGCCACGTTTCTGGGATGCAGGCATGTGGCTGCATCCTCAGGGGAGTGAACTCCGGCTTCTAATTGGTTCATGTTCATTTTCTTTTAGTGGATATCATGGAAATCAAGGAAATCCGCCCAGGGAAGAGCTCCAAGGACTTCGAGCGTGCAAAGACAGTCCGCCAGAAGGAAGACTGCTGCTTCACCATCTTGTATGGCACCCAGTTCGTCCTCAGCACACTCAGCTTAGCAAGTGGGTGCACGTCCGGGTGCTTTTCTGCCTCCCTGTGCCTCAGTTTCCTTCTTAGGGCATTCTCTAGAAGCAGGATGCTCACACCTGCCTTCCTACTAACGTGTTTGGGGGCATCATGGTTTTGAATCCTAACCCTGCCCCTTTCTAGCGGTGTGCCTTTGGGCAAGCTACTCAGCCCCCCTGCACTGCCGTTTGCTCAGCTGTGAAATGGGGAGAATCATAATGCTGGCCTCATTGGGATGTTGTGAGGATTATGTTAAGGGCTTGCCTGGCTCACGCTGAGAGCTAACGGCAAGTTACATTTTTGCTCAGCAGAGCCTGGCCTACACCATTTATTCAGTTTATCTGATCTGAAGGAACTACCCTGGAATCTTATGTCTCACACAAGTAAACATGCACACACACACATGTATGCATACTACGCACATACATGCACACACACATGCATGCATATGTGCACACGTATACACATATGTATCCGGAGGTCAGATATCTGGTCAGCCCTGTGAATCTACCAGAAAGCCAGAGAGGCCTCTGGGAGGCCAGCAGAAGAGCTGTGAGAAAGCTGAGGCACGTTACTCAGGGCAGAAGCTTGGAGCTGCCTTTAGGGCCAATCCTAGAACTTACTGACTTAGAACTGTATGCACAATCATGGCTGATGAGAGAGAAAATTAATACCATTAAAAGTCGACCATGCATACAAGTCCTTTGTTGATCTCTCCCCCTCACCCCTCCCCTCCCCTATCTTCCCTCTGAGTTTTGGGCATCTGATCGATTTGTAATATCTTAATAAAGGGGGGGGAAATAAAAAAAATAAAATTAGAAGTTTCTAAGGATTCAAAATTAGCTGTATTTAAGAGAACGTGAATCAATTAATGATAGTGGAAGCACCATTATTGATAAAATGTATTTCACTTCATATCTGTTTTATAATAACATTTTCATTTTAATCATGCTTAGACAAGCAACTGTTCAGAAATTGTATTTGTATTTCCTATTAAAATGTATTCATTAGAAGAAAAAAAAAGTCGACCAAAGTGGGGGGAAGCTTTGAAAGCTGAGCAGCGGTAGGCACATGTCATATAGGGTCGAATAGCTGTCGCCGATTTAATTTGTCATTCATTTTCCCCATCAGGCATCTTTTGAGCTGTGCTCTGAACTGGGTTGTGCTAGAAGTCAGTGGGGCTCTGGAGATGAGTAAGACAGTTGCTGCCTTTAAGGAGTTCATAGTATTTGGGAGACAGATGTGTGGACAGGAGCTTACAGTGCCCTGGGATAAGAGCAATAGTCCAAGCACAATACAGTGTGCTGAGGGGTATTGAGTGTCTGTTTCCAGGGAAGGCTCTGCAGAGGGGGAGGTGACTTTTAACCTGGCTTTTGAGGCATCAGGAACAACTGGGAGGAAAGAAGAAGGAGAGGATATTGCATCTATAGGGTGGGGCAAACGTAGGTTTACAGTTGTGAGTATGGGAAACAGTTTAATCTTGCATTATTGTTTATTATTTTCCATATGAACAACTGTAAGCCTACGTTTGTCCCACCCTGTATAAGGGTGTAGGGAAATAGCAAGCTGGGTCTGGGGAATAATGAGTGTATGTCTGATTGATGGTGTGTGGTGGGTGGCGGAGATGAGGCAGGAGAGAGGCGATTGTGACCCTGAATCTTCAGAGCTGTGTCCACTTAACCCCACTTCAGGCAGAGCCTGGCTGCCGTTCTTGGTAGGAGAACAGGAAAAACCAAGCAAGACTTGGAGCCCAGGATACCAGTCTGTCCCACTCCGGGTCCCTCTTCCAGAGCTCTGGAATTCAAGGTTGGGTAGAGAGATGGGCAAGACTTCGATTCACATCCCAGCTTCTCCTTTATTGGCGCTGGGACAGGTCTCTCAACCTGCTGAGCCTTGATTTTCTCCTCATCAGCACGGGAAGAATGAGAGCAGCAATGTTGGCCTGATACTGTCTGGACTAACAAGATACCTGGTGGTTAGGAGATGTTTAATAACTAGATCAGGTGTTTTCATGGCTCGCTCCATTTCACTGATGAGGGAATGAGGCACAGAGGGGTTAAGTAACCAGCTGAATGTCGCACAGCCCTGAAGTGGTGCGGTGGGACTTGGCGATGATGCCAAGCTCTTAACCACCACTTGTTTTCGCTTCCCTCATGGGCATCAGCATCTCCTACTTCCCACCCTCCTCTCTGACCTTGGTTGGAAACAGGTGAAATGCTGAGGGTTGTTCAGGATTGTGGTACAAATTATTCCAGGCCCTGTGTCCTATTCATTAGCATGGGGTTAAAAGCTAAAACTTCTTTTAAAAAAATGCCTCCTTGTCACCTCTGCTATAGAAGGCTCGTAATAGACTCATGGCCTCATCTCAGACCAAAAGCAGGTCTCAGAACCTTGAAGGTATGAAGGAGATGCCTTCTTGGTGCCCTGTTGCACAACTGCAAATGGGCACAGGCTTCTCCCACGCCCACCATCTGTATGGGGCTGGGGAGGTGGGGAGCCAGGGTCGGTAGGTCTCCAAGCAGCGGTCTTCCCAGAGCGTAACACAGCATTTCTGTTCCCGTTCACCTCACTAGCGGACTCGAAGGAAGATGCAACCAAGTGGCTCTCTGGCTTGAAAATCTTACACCAGGAAGCGATGAGCGCGTCCACACCCACCATCATTGAGAGGTATCGGCTTTGCCTGCCTATCTCTGTCTTCGCTCACTCATCCATTCTGCTCTCTGTAGCCAACATGGGCGAAGGGAAGAAAAAGGAGACGTTTGATCTTGGAGATTCATTGAGCGTCCTGTGTGCAGTAGATGCTCCGTGGTGGCTGTGGACCCTCCGGTGTCTCACAGAAAAGGCTGTCTCCGTACGGAGCCTTGGCCTTGGCCTGTTGGCATGCGGAGTGCTTTGATATGACACAGAAACCTGCACTGGTGTTGTGTTTGAGGGGAGGACCAGAGGGCTTCCTTCTTAAAGGCTTTAAGAAGGCACTAGCTGACTCAAAGGGCAGTCAGATGCAAGGTCAAGCATTTTCCACCTGCCACCAGGAGTGTCTGGCCAGCATCGTGGATGTCTGACTAGGATTGTCCATCCCCCAGGAAACCAAAGCCCTCCGATTTCACCACTTTTCTGACCAGCTTTTTGGGGATTAATGGATTTCATCGGAGGGACTCACCCGTTAAAGAGCACCAGCCTGTACCAGCTCAAGGGGCCTCTTGGCTCAGTAAGGCTTTTTTGACCACAAGGAAGAAGCTGCTTTCTAAATTAGAAAGTTGGAAAACCCTTCCCAGGGTCCTTAGTCCCTGCTCCATAGAACTCAGACTTGTACTGTTTTCTAACTTTCTCTCTCTGTGTCTCAACTCTCTTTCCAGTTGGCTGAGAAAGCAGATTTATTCGGTGGATCAAACCAGAAGAAACAGGTAACATTTGTTCACATCTTGGCGGTTTGCTCCAGATCATGGTGCGCTCTGATTTTTGTTCTTTCTTGAAATGTTCAAGGGGGTTGGGTGGGTCATGATTTGTGCTGGGGAAAGGTCCTCATGAGGTCACAGTTAACCAGACTCGGTGCTAGGCGCTGGGGGCGGAGCCTCATTGCAGCGGAAAATTCAAGTCCATCTGCAGAGACGAATTCTCTGCATGGAGCCTTTGGACTCATCATTTCAGCCTTCACATCTGAGCACTTGTGTCCTGGGGAGAAACAGGATCGCGCGGCGCCTGCCCTCACTTTGCGGTGGGAGGGGTGGACCATACGGAAGTAAACCGGGCTAATAGCGACGGTTCTAAGGGCTGTGCAGACGAGACGGCGATGTGATAACATACATTCCAGTGGATTTGACCTGCTCACTGAACAGTACGTCTTGGAGTGGTTCCCTGTCGGCACACAATGCTCTAGGCCGGACACGTCTGTAACATGTGGTTTGTCCTGGGGGAAGGCAGTGTGATTTCCTCACTGCTGGGAAATGGTTTCCTTCTTGATGGACACACGTTGTCCCTGGTCCTTTGGGAATAATGCTGCTCTGAAAACCTGTGGGTCTAGACATCTTCTGTTGACTTGGGTGAGGAGGACATGAGCAGGGTGACAGCCCAGAGCAGGACATTTTGAGAGAGGGGGTCAGGGGAGGTCCCGCGTCCTCCGCCCCGTACCCTGGACTCTGACGGTTGTTAGTCTGATGGGTGAGGTGCTTGTATTTGCATTTCTTTCTTTATGGGTGAGGTTGGACAACCTCGTGCCCAGTTTTTCTTAGGTATGAGCCAGTTTTATGGATAACGTAATGATAAAAACTACCATTTACTGAGCATGCTAGGCACTGTGAGCACATTATAATCATTGTCTCATGTTTAGCCTCACATCAGGCCTTTTTTTTTTCTTTCAAATTTTAAATGTTTTTCCTTCCCTCCATTAAGATCTGTCACAATTGCCCTGTCTGCTTTGGCTCAGTGGATAGAGCGTCGGCCCTCGGACTGGAAGGTCCAGGATTTGATTCTGGTCAAGGGCATGTGTCTCGGTTGTAGGCTCGATTCCCATGAGGTCACGTCAATGTCTCTCTCTCTCTCTCTGGCTCTCCCCCTCCTTCCACTCTCTAAAAATCAATGGAAAAATATCCTCAGGTGAGGATTAACAACAACAACAAACAAAAGGTATGTCACTGTCATATCTGAGGCAGTGACTCCCTCCCTCTTGTTCTTGAATATTCTCCCCTCTCCAGGGCACCTCTGTGTCCCTCTCCAGGGCACCTCTGTGTCAGGCCAGTGTCCCCTGTCACCCAGAGTCTGGGCGTCCTTCCACGCTCTTCCTACACACACTGACGGCCTGATGTGGAAGCATTAACCGTGAAGTGCTGAAAAGCTTAGTACTATCAGGTCAGCCAGCAGCCCACTCCGTGTCCTCCGGCTGTCTGTCTTTCCCTCCTCCGCTCACTCAGCATTCACTCTGGCCCCACACCCTGCGCCCTGCTCCGGGGTCACAGCGGTGGACCAAAGGGTCCCTTGTTGGAGGGTTCAGTACACACTGGCCTCTCTCAGCCGGAGGTGGGGCCTCCTTGGAGGGCTTCCTTTCTCGGTGGCTCAGGGGTGACTCATAGTTGAGATTGGCACAGGGGTGGCAGGTGGAGCCTCCGGGCCCTCCCCTCGTGCGGTGGTGGTACGGGGTTGTTGGTTTTGTTCCCGAGTCCGAGTCTCCTTTATCTGTTGTTGGGAAGTGGTTCTCTCGCTCAGTGTGGATCCTTCCTGCAAGTCCTTAGAGATCCATCTTTCCATCCGCTGGTCCAGAACCTTCCGCGGAGAGGAAGTCTGTTTCTGGACTCGATTCCTCTCCGTTCCCTCTCCCCACGCTCCCTCCCAGTGGCAGAGCCCTGCCGCCAGCGTGTGGAAATCCCACCTTTCCTGTGGTTCTGGGAGGCCCCGAGGGAGTTTCTCAAAAGGAACTTTGACTTGACCAAGGGGCCAATGAAAGGGCACGGACTTCTGTTCTGCCAATTTCCCCTCCTTTCCTGTCGCCCACGACTAATTGCGTTTCCTGAAAGAAAACAAAGGAGCCACAGAAGCAAAGGAAAGACTCCGTGGGCAGGAGGCCGGCTCTGAGCGGGCCCTGCGCGGGTGCCCAGCCTCTGGGTGCTTTCCTTGGCGTGGGCACCTGCTTTCATTGTCAGCATCGCTGGAGACCAGCTGGCGGCAGCTGGCACTTGTGGAGAAGTGGCTTTGCAGCGGCCACGGTGCTGAGCACTTTGCATCCCCAGGGGATGCTGACGGAGCGCTCTCGGACGGGGCAGCCAGGGACCCTTCTGTGACACGTTCAGGAACTTGTCTACAGCACCTCACCTGGTCAGGTGTGGCACAGGGTTTGAGACTCACCCACCAGTACTTGACATTGCCTTTCCTTCTTCAGGCAAAAATCTTTCCTTCCCCACGCTGACCTGAAACATATTACTTAGTCTGTTTTATTGTGGTAAAATATACAGAACATAAAATTTATCACAGACCTCCTCCCTGCTAAGGTTCTGGGCCAGCTGCCAGAAAGACAGGTCTCTATGAAGGACCCGCAAGAATCCATCCGAGCAGGTGCACGCTTCCGTAAGATTAAGGGCATTCACTTTGTGCACCATCACCACCATCCGTCTCCAGAGCTCTTCATCGTGTAGCACTGAGACTCTGTCCCCATTAGACATAAATCCCCGATCCTCCTCCTCCCAGCCTGTGCTAACTTCTCTTCTGCCTTCTGTCTCGATGAATCCATTACTCTAGTTATCTCAATATAAGTGGAATCTAATACTTTTTGTCTTGTTATGACTGGTTTGTTTCACTCAGCAACTCAAGATTTCTTCGCGTTGTAGCATGTCAAAATTTCTTTCCTTTTTTTTTTAAATCCTCCCCCGAGCATATGTTTATTGATTTGAGGGAGGGAGGGAGGGAGGGAGGGAAGGAGGGAAGGAGAGAGAGAGAGAGAGAGAGAGAGAGAGAGAGAGAGAGAGAGAGAGAGAAAGAGAAACACTGATTGGTTGCCTCTCATATATACCCCGATTGGGGATCAAGCTCGAAACCTTTTGGTGTATGGGGCAATGCTTGAACCAACTGAGCCACCCAGCCAGGACAGAATTTCTTCCCCTTTTAAGGCTGAATAATATTCCACACTTTGTTTATTTGTTTCTCTGTTGGTAGGTACTTGAATTACTTCCCTCTGTTGGCTATTGTGAGTATTGTTGCTGTGAAGATGGGTGTTTGAGTTCCTGCTTCTGATTCTTTTGTGCATTACCCAGAAGTGGAATTACCGGATCAAATGACAAATTGCCATGCTGTTTCCATAGCAACCACAACCATTTTACATGCCCATCAGTATAAGGGCTCCATTTTTCCCCGACTTCCTTGCCTCCTCTTCTTATTTTCTTTCTTTCTAATCGCCATCTCAATGGTTGTGAAGTAGTATCTCATTGGGTTTTGATGTTCATGATGTAGAACATCTTTTCACATGTTTTTTACTATTTGTACATCTTCTTCGGAGAAATGTCTACTTGAGTCCTTTGCCCATTTAAAAATTTCACATTCTGATTTTAATCCTCATTCAGCTTCCAAGCACTGACCCTGGGCTAGGTTCTACATAATCTTTTAGTTTTCATGTTTACACTTTCATTTATTGTTTTCTGTTTTAAAAATGCACATGGACTTTAAAAAAATCAGTAGCAAAACAAAGTTTACTAGATAGCACAACCCAGTGCCAAATGAATTTAGGACAACACGTTTCTCTAAGAGTCGGGAGAAGGAAGTGATGACGTGGGTTCGAGTGCTTTGGGAAATCTTTAAGAATTGAGGAGGAATTTGATCTGGGAATTTTAGTTTGGGTAGGAATTAGGTATGTAGAGAAGACGATGAGGTCCTCCTGATGTCTTCTGGGTGTTTATCCAGCCTGGTGGTCCTTGTTACTCTTTGCCCTCTTTCTATTACTCATTGGTTGGTAGTTTAAGGTGTTCTCTAAATTTTCTCAAGCTCCATTGTGTGTCTATGCTTCTTGTACTTTATCTTTTCAAAAATTTAAATCATTTTTACTTTTTAAATACATAAAATAAAATTACAATATTATATTAGTGTCAGGTGTACATCCCAGTGATTAGACATTTGTATAACTTACTAAGTGATCATCCCAGTAAATCTTGTACCCATCTGACACCGTACATAGTTATTAGAATACTAGAGGCCCAGTGCACAAAAATTTGTGCCCTCGGGGGGGGGGGGGGTCCCTCAGCCTGGCCTGTGCCCTCTCGCAGTCTGGGACCCCTCGGGAGATAACGACCTGCTGGCTTAGGCCTGCTCCCGGGTGGCAGAGGGCAGGCCCAATCCCTAGGTGCAGCCCCTGGTCAGGCTCAGAGCAGGGCCGATTGGGGAGTTGGGGCGCTGCCCCCTGTCATGCACAGAGCAGGGCGGATTGGGAGGTTGCGATGCCACCCTCAGTCATGCTCAGGGTAGGGCCGATTGGGGGGTTGGGGCACCGCCCCCTGTTACACTCAAGGCAGGGTCGATGGGGAGGTTGTGGCGCCACCCCCTGTCACGCACAGAGCAGGGCCAATCAGGGGGTTGGGGCGCTGCCCCCTGTCACTAACAGAGCAGGGTCCATCAGGGGGGTTGGGGCGCTGCCCCCTGTCACTCACAGAGCAGGGCCCATCGGGGTTGAGGAGCTCCCCCCTGTCACTCACAGAGTAGGGCCGATAGGGGAGTTGGGGCACCGCCCCCTGTCACACACAGAGCAGGGCGGATCAGGGGGTTGGGGTGCTGCACCCTGTCACACTCAGGGCAGGGCCAATGGGGAGGTTATGGCTCTACCCTGTCACACACAGAGCAAGGCCCGTGGAGGGGGGTTGGGGCGCCACTCTCTATCACCCACAGAGCAGGGCCGATCAGGGGGTTGGGGCGCCGCCACTGTCACACTCAGGGC